GGGCGCAGGAGGCCGGCCAGGGGAGGCTGGGGATCAGGGGCGAGGACCGAGGAGCCCGCGGAGGAGCGGGGTGAAGGTGGGCTGCCGGAGGAGGGAAGAAAGGGCGAGGGCGGCGACGGTGGATGGGGAATGCAGAGGCTCCCAGGGAAAAAGGAGCGCAAGAGAATGGGGCTGAGAGGAAGGAAGGGGGCTGCGGGAGGCAGAGGTGCCCTTCGTGGACGTAGACCCATCGCCCCGCGTACCGGGCCTGCGCTCGGCGGCCCTTTCCCCGGGCTGGCGGCCCCTGCAGCCCTGCAAGCCTTCTGGACCAAAATCAGGCTTCAGCCTCCTCTTGGAGCCTCTGGGTGTTTCCTGGGGTAGAATTCTAACCCGCCGCCCCCTCCACTCCCCGTTAGCCCTACACTGGTATGGGAGAAAATGAAGTCCTTTGTCTCTGAGGGATCAAGACCAGAAACCGACGAACCTCTAGTTCCCAGAGGGGGTAAAATCCATGATGTCTGCCCCCGAGGGAGTTTGCCACAACCTCCCTGGAATGAGTATTGCCAGCTACCAACAGTTCTTTCCCAACGGCCAACTCCCCAGCCTTCTTGTCACTTCTAGCCTCTTCTGGAGGTTCATGAAGGGCTCAAGCAAAGGAAATCTCAGAAGGGATTTTTACTTTTACTGGGAATAGGAATACTTAAGGGTATTCAGCTATACTGAGCAGTTCTTCCTATATCTCATTGTACATTTTGTGTGTGTGTGTGTGTGTTAATTTCCAGGTACCTTTAGCCAGTAAGTCTTTACAGAATTCCTCGTGGCAAAACTTATAGTTTTAGTTGATTGTTTTTCTTTTCTGATGACATATATATATTTTTTCAATCCATATGGAGATAAAGATGACTAACATTCTTGGCCTAATGTGAAAACCTCTAATTAAAACTATGTCTCTGCCTCGTTTGCCCAAAGCATGAAGCACTGGAACACTGGAAATTTAAACAAATGGGTGTGAATGTGTTAAGAAGCCAAGAGAGCCCCAGCCCTCTTCCACCAGACTCTGTGGCCTCAGGTCTGCAAGGGAAGTATTGGGATTAGGGATATCAATGAAGGGGGATGTGGCAGGAGGTGATCTCTCCCATTTCAAAACTTTCAATACCATCTCTACACTAACAACTCCCAAATTTATATCTTCTTCCTGGACTCATCCCCTAACTTCAAAATCATATATCCAACTACCTAAGAGACATATCCACTTAGATGTCTAACAGGCATTTCAAACTTACACTCCTGAATTTCCCCCACCCAAATCCTGCTTTTTCTTCAGCCTTCTTCTCTTTCTTTCCAATCAGTCTTCAGTCCCATTGGCCTTCAAACTATGTATCCAGAATCACATACCTTCAAAACACCTCCACAACCTTGGTCTAGGCCATAACCATATCTTACTTTTTTATTGCAGTACCCTTGTAATTAGTCTCTCAGTTTCAACCTTTGCCTCCCCCTACTTAAATCTGTTCTCAACACAGCAGCCATAGTGATCCTGAAGGAGATTTTTCCTCTGCTCAAAACTCATGGCTTCCCATCTTACTTGGAGTAAAAATAAAATCATCATTAGTATGGCCTATATAGGATCTGGCTCCCTGGTACTGCTTTCTAACTTGCACTCCTACTGCTTCCCCCTTCTTTACTCCTCCCCTGCCACACTCACCTCTTAGCTGTTTTTCAAACACACCTGGCATATGTCTGCTTAGGTCTTTTCACTTGTTTCCTCCACCTGGATCACTCCTTCAGATATCCTCTCTCACTCTAAATATCTTTTCATCAGATCTTCTCTGGCCACCCTATATAATTTCACAACCCTCCTCCAAAATCCCTCTCCCCTTTTCTGCTTTATTTTAATTCATAGTACTTACTACCGTCTAACATGTAATTTACCTTGTTTATCATCTTGTCCCACTAGAATGTAAACTTCATGTTTTGTTCAATGCTGTATCCTCAGCACCTAGAACCATACCTGGCACAAAGTAGGCACTTAATGAATATTCAGTAAATGAGTGAGCTGTTTAGTTATATTAAAGAGAAAGCATCTACCCTTGACCTTTACCTTGGTTGAGAGTGACAATCATAACAATATAGTATAAGAAATAGTGAAACCTATGGGAGAATAAAGTTGTCTAGGAGCACAGAGAAGAACGAACATACTATCTTGGAAGGAATTGAGGAAATGAAAACCGAGGTGGGTCTTAAAGATTGAGACAATAGGAGGACATTTCAGACAGATGAGAACATTGTGAAGGCATGGGATAAAAATGTATTGGAGTAAATGGGAGAAGTTGGCTGGCGTTTAGCTTGGATAGTGGGGAGTAGAGAGGATAATACAGTCAAGTGGGTTGAGACCAAATTAGTAAGGTCAGAAGGCCCAGTTAAGGAATGGATAATTTGCCCAGCCAGCATGGCTCAAAGGTTGAGCATCAAACTATGATCCAGGAGACAGAGATTTGATTCCTGGTCAGAGCACATGCCTGGGTTGCTGGCTGGATCCCCAGTAGGGGGCGTGCTGGAGGCAGCCAATCAATGACTCTCCTCATTGATGTTTCTAACTTTTCTTCTCCCTTCCTCTCTCTGAAATCAATAAAAACATAAAAAAAAAAAAAGGAATGGATAATTTATCAGCCAAGGTGTACCATCAAAGGATATCCAGCACAGTGTGGGATGTTCAGATTTGTGTTTCTGAAAGCTAACTTCAATATTTGTATCTATGCACTGAATGCAGGAGCCACCTTAAGGGCTGTTAGTGCAGGTGTGATGATGATGAAGAACAGTTAATCGAAGGTACTAGTGGTATGGGGAATGGCAGGTTAAGAGCAAAGGCTCTGGTGTGAAACGAACTGCAAGCAACAATCATAGTTCTACCATTATTGGCTATGTGTTATTTAACCTCTACCTCAGTTTCCTCATCCGCAAAATGATAGTAGTACTTTAGCACACAGGATTATTACGGGGATTAAAGGGATAATCCATGTCATGTAAAGTGTTTATCGTAGTGTGTGACGCCAGGTAATGCTAAGAATGTAGTTATCACATTATTATTAATTTGTCAAATTTGTTGATCAATAGAGTGGGGAGGGGGAGAAGAAGGACTTTGTGGTCAAGATTTCTAAGGCCAGACAGAGATGGCAATTCCATGAACGAATTGCATATGTTTTCTTCCTCACTAGACCAAGTGTGGGCTTAGACTGGCATCATCACCATTGCCTGGGAACTTGTTAGAAATGCAAATTCTCAGGCCCCACTCTAGACCTAATGAATCAGAAAGTCTAGGGTGGGACTCAGTCGTCTGTTTTAACAAGCTCTCCAGGTGATTCTGATGCACCTCAAGTTTGAAAACCATTGCTTTGGAATCTATACCAGGGGTTGGCCAACCTATTCTTAAAAACCCAGGTAGTAAATACTTTGGGCTTTGACAGCCCTGGGGTCTCCTGCACTATTCAACTTTGCCATTGTAGCAAAAAGAAATGTGAATGAATGAGTGTGGCTGATGATAAGTAATTAAGGTACTAGTGGTATGGCAATAGAGGGAGTGACAGGTGGGAGACTCAATGGTTAAAAGCAAAGGCTCTGGTGTGAGACCAAGCAGCAATCACAGTCCCACCATTTCATAAAATTGTATTTAGGAATACTGAAATTTGGATTTCATGTAATTTTCATGTGTCATGAAATACTATTCTATATTTTTTTCAACTATTTAAAAATTCTGAGCTTATTCTTAGCCTTGTGGCACATACAAAAAGGGACATCGGGCCAGATTTGGCACACAAGCTATAGTTTGCCTTCCACTGGTCTAGAGACCAATAGACCAAACTGGAGCCAATCTTCAACAAAATGGGAGGAGGCTGGCACTATATAGTACCCATGTAAATCAATGCAAGGTGGCCTGGGACTGTTATTTATTCTGAGATTATATGCTTCCTATTTTGTGTGCATTAAAATGTACTTTCTTTTGTGAAATGATGGTAAT